CATGAGAATACACAAATGTTTTAAAATGTATTTCTAATGTTCAAATGACATAAATTCAAATTAAATTTGGAATACATAATGGAGATTGTGCACTAGAATAACCTTTGGTTTCAAATGAAAGCTGTTAGCATTTTCTGATCTAAACTTTTCGTTTGTGACACYTTTGATATAATTCATTTTAAAATATCTGGCAACTAAATACTATTTGTTACATGAAGCAGCAATCAAACTTAATTTTTATATATAAATTAGACTTTTCATCATAACATTGACACTGTACCATCAGGTTTCATATTATAAATTGATGCAAACTACTAAAATCAATTTGGAATGTCTTTATTGATAACAGCAGTCTAATATCAAAGTAAGAAAAAATAAAATCTTTCTACTAGCAGGTTTTATTTTATCCATGATTACAAGACTGTTAGTACGTCCATATGTRTTACGCACATAAATGCATACATATACTTTTATTACAACAAAGTTTTCTTAGAAAAGAGAGTGCTAAGGGACAGAAGGATTCTATAGAGGATTACCTAACATAGTCCTATTTATGTATATTATCAGTGAAAAATATAAAAAGAAAGCATACATAAATTGTGGCATACTAAACTGAGTGAGGAAAAGATATCCTGTATTGGAGACAGCCACATGAGAYGGCTGAAAATTACACTTACTGCAGTTAGGAAAAATGAGTTAGACAACATGCTTCAAGCTAAAAACAACTGAACAATGAGTAAAAAGAAAATAATTATAAGAATAGTTCTGGCTGAATCAAATGATTARTCTGCTTGTGAAGATAGTGCCAAAATCTACTGATAGATGAATTCTGTCGTATTTGTAATTGGCTAAAAAAAAAGAACTATTTTTCTAAAAGCATTCAAGGTCAATAGCATTCTCTGGTATTTTAACTCTAATAACCTGCTTGCTGAAATTTTCACTGATTCTGTGATTCAGCTGCTCATATCAAAAATATTTGCTGCAGTACTACTAGTAAGAAAAATAATATATGAATAAGTCTTTAGAATAGTCCTTGTGCATTCCTCCCCCTTCAAGGGTTTGAAAGGTACAGGCTGACAAACTTCTACACTTATTTCGATTCATTAATAAATGATTTGCTAATACTTAATAAAATCCAATATTTGTATTTGAGTCTTTCACCTGGTACAGTCATGCCCAATTCCAGAAGGTTTAAAATGTCCCATTTCAGATAAAAAATAAATCTGGCAGCAATTTACATCCATTTTGCACTGTGTGCAAATTTACAGCCTTTATGAAAGTGAAACTGTGTTAGTTGAACTAAACCTGGGTTTGTTTCCTCAGAACTGAAAGCTATAGCTTAGCTAAGAAAGTGACAGAAGATATGAAAGCTATGTCATCTGACCAATTATATATATTTACACACCGACGTTTGCAGTAGAACCTGTATTACACAAGAGAGCTACAAGTCATCTCCCCTTTTTGGCCAATTAATACAATATTATCAATAGCAATAGTATTTTTTTCCATTTTGTTTACTTATACAATTTGATAAATAACAACAAGATGCCATCATGAAGTATAATCTTTCACAACAACAGCCATTACCATAAAACCGAAATAGAATATAATTGATTGTACTGCTAAGTGAAAAACAAACAAAAAAGGTCATAATTAAATATTCTGGATAAAGCACTTTAACCAGAATTTACTCATTCGGCCTGAGTAAGCCGATATTAAATTAAATGCATTTGGAGATGTAAGCCAAACATTAAAGAATATTAGGCTGTTCACAATTTCTAGATCCAAACCTAGAGAAAAACAAACTAAGCCTGCTATGTGTCTGAACAGGTAACACAAATGCCTCTAGAACTSTATTGCATTGACCTTTGTTAGTCCATTGGTACAAACAGACTGTAAATTTTAAAAAATAATGTTGCAGTAAAACAGCATTCATTTGATAACTTCATAGTTCTTGCTGTTATAAATGAATATATAAATGAAATATAGACTTTCAAAATTAAATGTTTTTAAAGAAAACACTTTATGTGTTTATGTTTGTCAAAAAGGGAGTAGAAATACACTTCAGACAAAAACTTGTGTTACTTTCATAGCATCAATTCAGCAATATAAGGACTGACAGAAGACACAAAGTAATACAATTATAATGAGACAACTAAAATGTTGATGTCATGACTACTGAATTCCTAATGCATTCTGCCATAAGCAACTGTGACAATGCTACTATTTGCCACTTTCCAAGAGTCAGCCATGAGATACTGGACTTATCAACACAAAAATAATCTGTCTGGAAAAAAGGACAATCTGCAACATCACTTAGGAATTTAAAGCACTTTAATTTACTTTTCCCTATATTCAATTTAACTGGCTTAAATCCAAAGTCATCAAATGAGGACATGTTTCTAGAAACTCATCTTGCAAAAGAGAGTTTGAGAACCCAAAAAGAAGAGGAAATTGTAAACATCCACCATCATCTGCATATTTGTGAGAGAATATAGAAAGAGTGAGAAACCCTTGTTTTCTGTCTCATAGAAAGCAATTAAGTGCAGCATATAATATAATTAACTAGTGAAACAATTTCGGAGTGCATGTTATGTGCAATATGGAATTTCTATTTTTTGCCAATTAACAGGTTCACTTACCTGCTATCTATCACATGCTATGTAAATACGGCTATGTCTTAAGATGTAATTAATAGCGAGTAGGACTGGAGCCACATCCTTTTCCTATAGATATTTTTCACTATCATCATTTTTTTCTAATATATTTTAAATATTAGGTGGCATTTCACATTGCTATAGAAACAATGCATATTGTGCTTTTATGTTGTTAGATGAGCTCAAATATCATCAGAGTAGTCTGACACTTTTTAAATAATTTATTAAAAATAAAATATTTTAGACATCAATGTAACCCTACATAATATTAAGTTTGTACATCTGGAAAGTTTTCTTTTTAAAAAGTTGTAGTATTACGAAGCATATTTTTTCAATGTTTGAAATTCTACATTCTCTTTCTTTTAAAACAATTCTAAATGATATCTAGAAAAGATGGCAATTACACCAGGTAATATGTGAGTGACAGTGGTATCCGCCTCCATAAACTTAAGGTAATATACAGTACAAAAAAAGTAGGAGAAAATATCGAAAGGAAGGAAACTAACAAGAAGTGAGAGAGCGACTTGTTAGCACAGACAGAGAAAAAGAGACAGGGAGACCACTACACATGGTCTAAAATGCTCAAAATTCATGCATCTTAACAGTTTTAGGAAATCACTTTGGTGCCCTCAAAACTGCACAGAAAGCAGACCAGGCTGCCAGCATCACCCTGGCAGGTGTCCTACTCTCTAGGCATCCAGGAAGATGTTCCCTGGAAATTCTGCCCACAAAGTCAGATAAACACCGTGTGCAGTTTTGAAGGGTAGGACTTTCTACTACAGACATTCACAGATTGCTCAGTTTTTCTGTTCCTGGATGTCACTACGGCTAGCAAAATACAGGATTTTTCTTAGGATTCAATTGCTTGCAAGTGAGGGGCAGGCTTCTTCTCCTCCATAATAGATTTTCCACAATTCTCCTTGYTCTAGTAGTCCTAGTTTCTTTTTGATTTCATATTTCTTGCATGTGCGACATATGCTGGAAAAAGGTCATGATGGAACTTGCTTACCTGAAGTAGAAATGCTTTGCTTTATATATAATAAAAGAGCAAGGTTTGTACAGCAAATTGTATCCTTTGTCAAACTGAGCAATACAACTGGGGAAACAGGCACACAAAGCCTTCTAATCCGCACTAGTACATGCTTGAAGGTTTAACTAGTTTTCCACTTAAATCAATAAGCCAAGACGCTACCTTCCCTTATGAGCCTTTTTTTTTTGGTTTTATATTCTCAGACCATCATGGCTACAGGAATACTATTATGATGTTCCAGTAATAAAGTTCTCTTCTTCATGACCATAAAGCAATACTTGATAATCATTTTGTGATCAACTACCACACTCATCTCTATTCGCCAGCAACACCAGCCTGGCAGTACAATGCACTGTGCTCCATGCTAGTGCCTCCCTTTCCAGTTCTACTTTATATAATCCACAAGATTGTCAAGCTTTTCCTGTACAATTTTAAGACATTTCTCCACTCTGGCAACAACACTTAAATCTGATTTASTGAACACATTCACCTACTTTTTCTTACATGATTATCAGCAAAACTGCAGACCAGATTAGTCCCGAAACAGACCCTAAAAACACTGTTTTAACTTGAATGTCTTCTCTTTCAGGACCCATTGCAGTCACTTCTTTAACAAACATTACTTTTACAATAGGTTACCTGAAGAAAACTGAGCTTTTTATAGGCACAAAGTGAGTTACTGCAGAAAGTAACACATCTCCAAGAGCACTCCTGGCCTCTGACAGTAGCCAATGCAGGGTTCCTACAAACCCAATCCTTTCAATCTCTTGACTGTGTGATTGCTCTCAGGCTTTAGCTGCCTCTTTCCAAAGAGYAGGGGAAAGACTTCTTAACATCTCTGTGCCACAAAGGAAGAATAACTAGGTCATTTTAAGAAACAGCCATTTGGCTAGTCAATCTTGATTTATTCTTTTGTTTTTAAATTATTTTTAGTTGTTTTTAGGTTATTTAAGCTAGCTAGGAGTATAGCCTTGAGTGGAAGATGAGTCCTTTAAACCTTTTTTCCTGGRATGGCTGTAGCTCAACTATATCACAAGAGAGAAAATTTCTTTTAAACACGCTATAAGCCATATTCAACCATATTAACAAAATCATGAATTGTTGCTATGATCCAAATGAAACRCATCTAGCGAAAAAACAGCTTTGCACTATAAAGAGAGTGCACTTTGGTCTCAGCCTTAAATATTTACTTGTTATCTCACAGGATAGCAATATGTAATATTTATCTATAACATAAATGAAAATCTATAAAATATAAAATATTTCCCCTTTACATAACAAAAAGAGAGAAAAGTCATATTAAGTTTACTTACTTGGTTAAGTATATCTTGTTTCTGTAATGCATGCATGAAAGAAAGAGCAGACATGCATTAAAGTACAGTAACAGCCAGGCTTTTCCTATATTAGAACTACTTTAGTTAAAAGATTAGTGTAACAGAGAAACAGGTTTAAAAAACAATATAAAATTTTCTTTAATTCACAGACACCAGGAAAACAGTCATAGTCAGCATTCTACTCCTGATTAATTAGACAGCATAAGCAATTTATTTTTAACCATGCAGTAACAAATATCCAAGGAAAAGAAAACAAATAAAATGTTTGCGTCTTGCATATTTTTATAAAACATACTTCTTATCAAGAATTGTTAATAAAACAATTTAATCGGAAATGAACACTGTGATAAACATAAGTAATCACTGCCTTAGAAGTCATTGCTACATTGCCTCAGTTTCTAAAAACTTACCTATTTTTATAAAGGCATTGTACTAACTTTCTACATTATTCTACATTGTGCACAAGCTGCACATATAGATATTAAAGAGGCATTATCTTAAAATTCCAAATACTATTGCAGATTATGTACTGCACCCTAACTGCTTGTTGGGTTGTGACTCATCCATACAATTTCTATCCTCTTCATGCCCTGAGCTAACCCCAAAAGATGYAGGTGGGCAGCTAAGCAGATCCACAAGAAATTACGATGCACTCCAACAGATCACCCAGGAGGATTCTTCAAGAGGCTCAGACTGCAAGCACACAGTGACGTGCTTCTACTGCCCAGGCTAGATACAGTCTGTAGCTCGGTGTACTTCCTTAATTCTTGCTAGCCTATTCAGCACTCTCCTTCAAATAAAATGTCCAGAATTAATTAATTTAGATAAATTTCAAATGATTGAGACACTATTTAGACACATTTTCCAGGAGGCTGATCTTAACATCCCTATAAATCTTACATGAGGTGTAAAATCTAGTCTTAATTAGGTATGTTAAAAAGGACATACGAATACAAGGAGGCAGGAGGGCAGAGGTTTGTTAGTGTTTGCAGTTTTAGTCATCTCCCTTACACTGAAAGCTAGCGAAGAGTAAAAGCAACAGTGACAGCTCCATATATAAACTCCCTATATTGGATGACCTTCTGATAATCGGCTTCACCATTTCCACTAAGCTCAAAAATCGTTCACTGAACAAGATACAAAATAATGGAAAAACAAGCCAGATGATTTCAGGTGACTAGCTTTGAATATCCATAGCTTCTCTTTTGCTATTTCTGTCCCGTT